CAAAACTATGTTGACTAAAAGTGGCAAGAGTGGACATCCTTGTCTTGCTCCTGATTTTAGAGGAAGTGGTTTCATCTTCACACCATTGAGTATAATGTTAGCTGTGGGTTTGTCATATATGGCCTTTGTTATGTTGAGGTAAGTTCCCTCTGTGCCCACTTTCTGGAGAGTTTTTATCATAAATGGGTGTTGGATTTTGTCAAAAGCCTTTTCTGCCTCTATTGAGATGATCGTATGGTTTTTATTCTTCAATTTGTTAATGTGGTTTATCACACCAATTGATTCATGGATATTGAAAAATCCTTGCAGCCCTTGGTTAAATCCCACTTGATTGTGGTGTATGATCCTTTTAAAGTTTTGTTGGATTCGGTTTGCTAGTTTTTTTTTTTTTTGAGGATTTTTGTGTCTATGTTCATCAGTGATACTGGCCTGTAATTTTGTGTGTGTGTGTGGTATCTTTGTCTGGTTTTGGTATCAGGGTGGTGGTGGCCTCATAGAATGAGTTTGGGAGTGTTCCTTCCTCTGCAATATTTTGCAATAGTTTCAGAAGGATAGGTGTTAACTCTTCTCTAAAGATTGACTCTGAAGCCATCTGGTCCTGGACTTTTGTTTGTTGGAAGTGTTTTAATCAGTTTCAATTTCAGTAATTGTGATTGGTCTATTCATATTTTCTATTTCTTTCTGGTTCAGTTTTGAGAGATTGTACCTTTCTAAGAATTTGTCCATTTTATTGGCATATAGTTGCTTGTAGTAGTCTCTTATGATCCTTTATATATCTGTGGTGTCCATTGTTAACTTCTTCTTTTTCATTTCTAATTTTATTGATTTGAGCCTTCTCCCTTTTCTTCTTGGTGAGTCTGGCTAAAGGTTTATCAATATTGTTTATCTTTTCAAACAACCAGCTTTTGGTTTAATTGATCTTTTCTATTGTTTTCTTTGTCTCTATTTCATTTATTTCTGCTCTGATCTTTATGATTTTTTTTCCTTCTGCTATCTTCGGGTTTTGTTTGATCTTCTTTCTCTCGTTGCTTTAGGTGTAAGGTTAGGTCGTCTATTTGATATTTTTCTTGTTTCCTGAGGTAAGATTGTACCGCTGTAAACTTCCCTCTTAGAACTGCTTTTGCTGCATCCCACAGGTTTTCGATCATCATGTTTTCGTTTTGTTTCTAGGTATTTTTTTTTTAACTTCCTCTTTGATTTCTCCAATGATCCATTGTTTGTTTAGAAGCATATTGTTTTGCCTCCACATGTTTGTGTTTTTTTAGTTTATTTTTTTCTTGTAGTTGATTTCTAATATCATAGTGTTGTGATTGGAAAAGATGCTTGATATGATTTCAATTTTCTTAAATTTATCAAGGCATGCTTTCTGGCTCAGCATATGGTCAATCCTGGAGAATGTTGTATGTGCAATTGAGAAGAATGTGTATTCTGCTGCTTTTAGATGGAATGCTCTATAAATATCAATTCCATTTGGTCTAATGTGTCATTGAAGGCCTATGTTTCCTTATTGATTTTCTGTCTGGATGATCTGTCCATTGATGTAAGTGGGGTGTTAAAGTCCCCCACTATTGTGTTACTGTTGATTTTTCCCTTTATGGCTGTTAGCATTTGCCTTATATATTGAGGTGCTCCTATGTAGGGTGCATATATATGTACAATTGTTATATCTTCTTGGATTGATCTTTTGGTCATTATTCAGTGTCCTTCTTTTAGTCTTTGTTTTAAAGTCTATTTTGTCTGATATGAATATTGCTACTCCAGCTTTCTTTTGATTCCATTTGCATGGAATATCTTTTTCCATCCCCTCATTTTTAGTCAGTATATGTCCCTAGATCTGAAGTGGGCCTCTTGTAGACAGCATATATATGGGTCTTGTTTTTGTATCCATTCAGCCAGTCTATGTCTTTTAGTTGGAGTATTTAATCCATTTACATTTAAGGTACTTACTGATGTGTATGTTCTTATTGCGGTTTTGTTAATTGTTTTGGATTTGTTTTTGCAGGTCTTTTTTCATCCCTTCCTCTTTTGTTCTCGTCTCTTGTGATTTGATGATTATCTTTAGTGTTGTGTTTGGATTGATTTTGTGTGTGTGTGTGCATGTATCAATTGTAGATTTTTTGTTTGCGGTTACCATGAGATTTTGAGATAGCAGTCTATATATATATACACAAGATATTTTTAAGTTTTAAGTTGCTAGTCTCTTACTTTCAAATGCATTTCCAATACCCTGCATCTCTACTCTCCTCTTCTCACAATTGCTGGTTTTGATATCACATTAGAGTATGGATGATTTCCTACCTTTACAGTATGTTTGCCTTACCAGTGAGCTTTCTCATTCATAATTTTCTTGTTTCTCATTGTGGCCTTTTCTTTTTGGCCTAGAGAAATTCCTTTAGCATTTGTTGTAAAGCTGGTTTGGTGGTGCTAAATTCTCTTAGCTTTTGCTTGTCTGTAAAGCTTTTGATTTCTCCATCAAATCCGAATGAGAGCCTTGCTGGGTAGAGTATTCTTGGTTGTATGTTTTCCCCTTTCATCATTTTAAATATATTGTGCCACTCCATTCTGGCCTGCAGAGTTTCTGCTCAAAATTCAGCTGATAACCTTATGGTGATTCTCTTGTATGTTATTTGTTGCTCTTCCCTTGTTGCTTTTAATATTTTTTCTTTGTCTTTAATTTTTGTCAGTTTGATTAATATGTGTCTCAGCATGTTCCTCCTTGGGTTTATCCCCTATGGGACTCTCTGCTCTTCCTGGACTTGACTGACTGTTTTCTTTCCCATGTTAGGGAATTTTCAGCTATTATCTCTTCAAGTATTTTCTCAGGCCCTTTCTCTCTCTCTCTTTTCCTTCTGGGACCCCTATAATGTGAATGTTGGTGCATTTAATGTTGTCCCAGAGGCCTCTTAAAGTGTCCTCATTTCTTTTCATTCATTTTTCTTTATCCTGTTCCAAAGCAGTGATTTCCACCATTCTGTTCTTCTGCTTCATTTATTCTGCTATTGATTCCTTCTAGTGTATTTTTCATTTCAGTTATTGTATTGTTCAACTCTGTTTGTTTGTTCTTTAGTTCTTCTAGGTCTTTGTTAAATATTTCTGTCTTCTGAATCTGTGCCTGCATTCTTTTCCTGTGATTTTGAATCATCTTTACTTCATTACTCTGAATTCTTTTTCAGGTAGATTGCCTGTCTCCACTTCACTTAGTTGTTCCTCTGGGGCTTTATCTTGTTCCGTCGTGTGGAACATATTTCTCTGCTTTCTCATTTTGTCTAACTTTCTGTGTTTGTCGTCTCCTTTCCACAGGCTGCAGGATTGTAGTTCTTCTTTCTTCTGATGTCTGCCCCCTTGTGGGTGAGGTTGGTCCAGGGGCTTGTGCAGGCTTCCTGGTGGGAGTGACTGGTGCCTGCCCACTTGTGAGTGGACTTGGGTCTTGTCCGTCTGGTGGGCAGGGCCAAGTCATGGGGTATGTTTAGAGGCAGCAGTGGACTCTGGACGACTTTATGCAGCCTGTCTGCTGATGGGTGGTGCTGTGTTCCCACCCTGTTGGTTGTTTGGCCTGAGGCATCCCAGCATTGGAGCCTGCAGGCTGTTGGGCGGGACCAGGTCTCAGTGCCAAAATGGCGACCTCTAGGAGAGCTCATGCTGTTGAATATTCCCTGGGGACTCCACCACCAGTGTTCTTGTCCCCACTGCGAGCCACAGCTGACTCCTGCCTCCTCAGGAGACCCTCCAAGACCTGCAGGTAGGTCTGGCCCAGGCTCCTATGCAGTCATTGCTTTGCCCTGGGTCCCAGTGCTCATGAAACCATTTTGCACTCTCTAAGACTGGATTCTCACAGTCCTGTGGAGATCCTACACTCAAGCCCCACTGGCCTTCAAAACCAAATGCTCTGGTAGCTCATCCTCCCTATTACAGTACCCCAGGCTGGGGAGCCTGACATGGGGCTCAGAACTCTCACTCCTGTGGGAGGACCTCTGCAATATAATTATTTTCCAGTCTGTAGAAGTGGGTATGAGATTTGATTATATCATGAAAGCACCCCTCCTACCATCTCGTTGTGGCTTCTTCTTTGTCTTTGGATGCAGAATATCTTTTTGGTAGGTTCCAGTGTTTTTTGTTGATGGTTGTTCAGCAGTTAGTTGTGATTTTGGTGTTTTCATGAGAGGAGGTGAGCTCAGGTCCTTCTACTCTGCCATCTTGTCCTGCACTCCTCTTCATTTATCCCATTTAGTGAGAATATTCATATAGCTCATTGCAGAAATATTAATGTGTTTGGTTAAGGCCTGTGGCCCTGATGCAACTGGGTGCATGTATTATATGGTATATGCATCCTATAGCCTTGCTAAAAACCAAAACAAATTCTATCTTTTTAACTACATTTGGCTTCAACATTTTTAGATGAGCAATTGTAGTCTTGTAGAATATTTCTTAGATGTCTTCTTCCCCCAGTACATAGAAACAGGCTATGAGTGGTGAGTGGTGGTAAAAAAAACTAGAAGAAATTGAGAAGTCCAGTTAGTTATGATCCCTGGTCTGTGGTACCCCACTCCCATTCTTACATGCTGCCCAAAGCCCTGATGCCTTCCTCCTCCTCGCCCTTTGATTCCTGAATGTGGAGTTCATCACATCTCCTTCTCCCTCAGCCCCTCCCCTTCCCTAGTTCAGTATTGATCTCCTGCCCTGGAAGACCCTGCTGTCTAGCCTGCAGGACTGACGTTAATAAGGTGAAATAATAGGCTTGACTTATCTGCCAGTCAAATGCCCTCTAGATGGAGGAGGGTCATTTGAGCCTCCAAGGAAACTCCATGCTGGAGTGTATGCCATCTCAGTGTGCACCAGGCCCTGCATAGGAAAAGTGACATATCCATCACAGGTGTGTTCCTGGGACCCTGAAATTACAGTGGGGTCCTTGGCAGAAAGGAATGTCAGAGGAGTGTTCTGACAAATGCTTGGAAATACTTGGTTCAGTGCCACCAGACCCTCCATCCTCTCTCTACTTTCAGCTTACACCTGGGATGCCTGTCACCAAGTCCCTTTGAGCAGTGACTTGAGCCACCTGGTGGCAGAGATCCGAGCTTTGAGAGGGCAGCTGGAGCACAGCATTCAGGTGAACAACTGTCTGCGACTACAGCTCGAGCAGCAGTTGGATGGTGGTGCCAGCAAAACCAGCCTCAGCCCCTCCACTGTTAACCAGAAATTCCCCACCAACACTGACCCTGGAAACAAGCAGCTGCTCTTCCAAGGTAGGAAGGAAAAGGGGATCAGGAAGCCCTCAGCCAGTGGGGAGGTCCCCAAGATGTCTACGGTGGAAGGGAAAATCTCGCCTCTTCCACGCTCCTTAAGGTCAGGGTGAAATCGAAGATGCTTCAGTACAGTGCCTTGAGAGCATGGGATTTAGGGTCAGATCTGGCTCCAGATTCTGAGTTTGACACTTACATGTTGTTTGCCTTGTGATTAAACTCCTCAGGTATTTAAGCCTTAGTTTCCTCATCTTTAACATGAGAATAATAATAATATACACTGTGCATAGTTATAAGGAGCATTAAGTGAAATAATTTACCAGTGCCTGATGCAATAAGTGCTCAACAGTTAACAGCTGTATGTATTAATGCCTATTCTTTATATTTGCAGAGTGCTTTAAAATCTACCACGTTTTCAAATAAATTTTCAAATAATTTCATCAGAGCTAGGGTAGATTTTACTGTCTCTGTATTTTACATGAGAAAACGTAGGCACTGAGACAATTAACTGACATGCTAAGGTTTACAGGAGTTAAGAGGCCAATCGAAGATTCGAAGCAGAAGTTTTGATCTGCTCTCTGTGTTCCTCCCACCTCACTATGCTCTGTCTCGGTGTTGCTTCTCTTTCCTCTCATGCTTTCCCCTCTCAGAGCCTCCCCACAGCACCAGCCAGGACTCATCTGAACTGGCTCAGTCACTCCTCCTCATCATCATACAGCACAGAGGCCTGAGGTGGAAAGCAGGTTCTAAGCCACATTTGCCTGAGCAGGGTGATTTCTGTCTCTTCGTGATATTTTCCAGTACCTCCCCTGGAGGATTGCTGCCTGGTCTCCAATAGGGCATCTCAAACTCACCAAGGCTTATGTCTCCTATTCTTCTTATACTACTACATGCTTTCTAGTATGTCTCTTCCTTATACTACTACATATTTTCCAGCACTGCCTCATCAGAATGGTGATTATAGTGCTGAGTTTAATCGCCCATAAATCCATTCGTTCTTTGATCAAATATTTTTAACATATATACTACATATATTTATATGTATTTATATTTAGTTAGAAAGCATTGTATTAGACACACTGCATACAATATTATATTCAAATCAGGGGTTAGAAAAATATATCTAATAATTTTTCAAACTAGAAGTTGCTTTCTCATGGAACAGCGTTCAATTACAGGAACATCTTGCTCCAAATTAAGTGGTTTGTTTTCCACTGGTTTTGACTGTGGTACATGGGTGATGATTATGTAAGAGGAGAGTCATGTTGCCTTAGATCTCCAGTAGTGAAGATAGGCTGTGCATGTGTTTCAGGAGCAGTATATTCCAGGGTTCCTAAAGTTGTGGTTATCTTAACTCCCTAGACTCAGTTGCCTCCCCTCCAGTTCGGGATGTGGGCATGAATTCTCCAATTCTGGTCTTCCCCAGCTCTTCTCCCACTGCTCATGGCTCAGAGACCACAACCTTCAATAGGACAAATGGTAAATAGGGCAACTACAGGACTCAGGGTCTAATGATGGAAAATGACTAAAGCAAGTAACCTTTGGTTCTCTATATGCACATTATCTGAATTTAGAGATTTTTCTCTGCATGTCCCACGGCCTTTAGCCCTACTCATTCCACCTCCTGTGGCTGCCTTTTTTGTCATTATTCTTCCTCCTGTGGTTTTCCTATTGCTCTGGTATTTCTTCATTGCACTATAATCTCTTCCTTCTTGAAAGTGCTCTCTGTATCCAGCTTAATTTCCTTGTCTGTGTCTTCTCAACCCCCAAATTTAAAATTTTTTAAAATTTGTCCTGAATATTTCATTTGTCAATAAGGATAAAATTTGCCTCCTGGCAATTTTATCATTATGAGATGATGTAAGAAAGATTATAAAAATATAGAACCCAGAATATCTATGGACTTCACACTTGTGCTTTCCAAGACTGTCATTCTTGTTTCTGGCCTCTTTCACTACTTGATGTCCATTCTGGATTGAACTGAGGATGATTATGTATAACAGTGGATTCTGTGTTACTGTGGTTTTATTCTTCAGAGCTGGGTTTGGATGCTTCTCCAGTAATGAAGATCCCTCCCAAGCTGGAGGGTGATGCTACTGATGGCTCCTTTGCCAATAAGCATGGCCGCCATGTCATTGGCCACATTGATGACTACAGTGCCCTAAGACAGCAGATTGGGGAGGGCAGACTGCTGGTCAAGAAGATAGCGTCGCTCATGAGATCAACCTGCAACTTCCCTGGCCTTGAAGCTCCAGGCACAGAGGTAATCACGTTTTAGCTTTTAGGTGCACCTTTTCCTTAGGCCCTTTCTTCTTCTGATTTTAGCTTCTTCTCCCTCTATTTTTTTTTTCCTGCTCCACATCTCCCATCAGCTGAGGATACATCTTCCATTTATATCCAGCTAGGCCTTTTATCTTTATCTGCTAATTTCACTACCAGCTCTGCTCTGCTCCAGATGTAGCTGACTTGCTATTTCCCCTCAGAACCACAGAAAAGCATGTGCAGCATTGCCGTCCTCATCAGTAGAGCACGTTAAGCGTCAACATACACACAATGCTGTACTGAGGACCCTTTGGTAGCTTATTATCTGCTAAAGTCATGCTAGCATATGACCATCTGTGGGCAGAATAAAATCAATCAATTGGCTGGAAAATGAGAATCTTCGTCCATATGGGCCAAATATGTGGAAGGGGTGAGGAGGGTGGCAGCCATGGAATTTCTCTGCTCACACTGAGCAAGGCAGGAGAGCAAGCAGCAAGGCTTCTCAGAGCCCTTCCCCAGGGAGAGATCCAGGTACTAGCTGCTGTGCTGTCTGAGATACTGGAGATGCACAGGCATGCAGGGACAGCCCTGCCCTCAGGGCCCCCCATGATAGAGAGGGATGCCCACACCTGAGTAAATAAATATAACCAGGGGCTCCAGGCACAAGGTTACAAGGGCTCTGGGTGTGAGGGCATGAACCCAGAATCAGCTGTTATCCCAGGAAAGGAAAGTAACAGGTTCATGGGGGGGTGCCAACAGGGGATATGTAAGTTCTTGGGGGAGAACATGCCAGGTAAAGGGAGCGGCACCTCAGTCCTTCGAGCTACAAGTGGTGCAGTCCATTTGAAGCATAAGGTGTGATTTACGGAAGGACAAGGGGGGCCAGTGAAAAAATAGGGACCTTAGACTCTGGAGCATGAAGCAGGACTAGAAGCTAAAGAATGTGGGGAAAGCTGGAATCAAATGAATTCTTGCAAATCGAGAGGTCCCTGCTGAGGTCAGAGAACCTTGGCTTCCAGGTTAGAAAAGGATTTCACAGGTTTAAGCAGGCCTGTGTCTACGCCTCACCCACAAAGGAAGCGGAGGCCAATGCTCAGCAAAAAAAAAAAAGTGATCTCTCAGGCCCGGGGATGCCCATGGCTACCTCCCCCTTTTCCCAGGTGATGGACAGTGAAGGCATCCACGAGCTCAGGAACAGCACCAGCGTCCTTCACCACCGACTGGAGGAGGCGGCCTCCCTCCTCACCATGTTCTGGCGAGCAGCCTTGCCAAGTTCCCACGGCCCTGCGCTGGACAGCAAAGCGGTAAGAAGCCAGCATCCCCTACTGGTTCTGCCCCCAAATATCCTTCTGCCTCCTTGGTCAGCAGATCCTGAAGGTCAGGAGCCGAATGGGCAGCTGGGACAAAGGGGACCTGAGGGGGCATCCCTGGAGGGAGACCTCTCCTCCGCGGTGGCTGCTTTCAGTGCAGCTCTGACTCCATCCCCTCTCCCCCCAGCCCTGACCCCCAGGATAAGTAATCAAAGAGCAGAAGGAAAGGACATGGAGGAGGCAGAGACACGAGAGCCCTGGTAACCCCTAAATGTTCCGTTTCTTTAACTTTCTGAAGTTTGGCTGTGCTGAAGTTCAGGATCATGTTAAAACATCATCTCCTTTCCCTTCCTAGCCCACCCCCACCTCCAGGTCCACATAGTCAGGCAGGATCACAGAATGTCACCAGGAGTCACCCAGCCTCTTGTAGCCACCCCCTGGAATCCCAGAAAATCACTTACATCTGCGTCACAGGGTCAGGCCTGGGGACACTCAGCCTCCCCGTGGTGCTCTCAGATCTCAGACTGCTTTCTGGTTGGTGACCTTGGATAGGCAGGTTTCAGGATCCCACCCAGGGGTTCCAACTCCAGACTAAGATCACTGACACTTTAGGGGCCCCAATTATGTTAATTCCAAGGAGGGAGCATTTTGCCATCTTGTGGTTGGCAGATATATTTACAAACTTACTGTCTCAGGCCAGCCCCGTCTCCCCAGGCGTGATATCCAGGCGTAATATTCCCAACGACCAAGTCTTACTTGTGATGCCCAAGTGATATAACTATGTCAGCATGAAATCTGAGCTCTTGTTCACAGCTGGGAGCTTCAGTGTGGCCTGGAGTCAGGTTCTCTGCAGCAACAGGAGTGTAGCCTGTGCTAATCTGCATGGGGGCTTCCAGGTCCTCAGTGTTCCCACCTCATGGCCCATCCTGAGCCACCACCACCTGCTGGAGGGATTGAGAGGCTTTAATGAGGGAAATCTGCTCCAAAAATACTTGAGAAGATTGTAGAATCCTATTTGGAGTTGTAAAGAGCCACCAAACACAGGGTGCTTTAGGCCTTCTGACCGTTGACAGAGAGCCTGTTTTTCTTCCCAGGGAGAGTCCATGAAAAGGGAGCTTCTGGAACTGAGAACCAAACTATCCAAACAGGAGAGTCTCCTTCAGAGCACAGCTGAGCATCTGAAGACCGCCAACCAGCAGAAGGAGAGCATGGAACAGTTTATCTTCAGCCAGTGTGGGTGCCCCCAGCCCGGGAATGGGACAGGAAATGGGGGTCCTTCCAGGTCCACCACCTGTGCTGTGAATGGACAGAGACCAGAGAGGTTAGGGGATGGGGGAGACTGATGTGACGTCTCTAAACCTCCTGTGCCATCAGTAATCGTGGAGGCAGAGGAGGGGACACGGGGTGGGGGGCAGCAGGAGACCCCAAGCTGAGTGTCCAGAAAGATAAGCTATAGAACACAAATCCAACGCAAGCGTGGGCCCACTGGTAATTTCTGCCTTGGGGGCTGCTTTCTCGTTTCAGTGACCAGGACACACGATGTTTTGAAGAAGGCAAGGACGAATTTGGAGGTAAGGAAACTACTGCACCAGTCGGAGCCAGAGAGCCCGCCCCAAACTTATCACCGCCTGTCATCAGAGTGCGCAGGTGATCCTCGACCTGCTCTGACCTTCCAGGAGCAGACGTCGGGTCCTCATGGGCATCCCTCTAGATTCCATCCTCATCAGCCCTCCACCCCAATCAGCAACCTCCCTTGACCTCTCGGTTGGCCCTTACTTTGTCATCATCTTCCCTCCTTACTCCAATTCTGTCTCCTTTATGCAGGTCAGGAGTGGGGAGAAATGCAGTTCAGTTGATTCTCAAGGTCAGAGGACATATGGGGTCTGCCTCTGAAGGAGCTTTCAGTAAAGGGATCCTGAGGCCAGTCATGTGTTCTGGGGTTTCCTATACCATTATATGGAACAATAATGGAAAGATGCAACCTAATAAGTTGATTTCAGTACACATTATTGGGCTGGAAACAGCAATTGGATTCTGACATCTCTTTTTCTTTAAGCAACAACACAAAAGAAAATCCTTGGGTCTTACTGATCTGAAAGAGCATTTGGTAATAAGTAAAAACTGAAACACAAAAGGCAAGATATTATCTCTATGGCAGACCTTCTCTACTTTTATTTAAAACACTAACACATTCTCTAGCAACCGCTTTGATGAAAAACTTGAGGTCTTAGAAATGGCCTAAAAATCAAAAACTAAACCTTTTACCTTGGACTTTAAAGCTTTGCCATAAGCAATTAAGCACATCCCTAGGAATGTTCCTAAATTGTAACCTAAGAGAATGTTGACCCCACAGTATGAAAATGGGTTGGGCCATAATTTAACTCTGTTTTGTTTGTCTGTTTTGCTAATTTCTTCTGTTTTTCTCTGATGATTCCTCTCTTTCCTGAGCCTTTTTAGAAGAACACTTACAAGATTGCCTCTGTAAAACCTTATTCCTGCCTCAGCAAAGGTAACCCAACAGCCTCTCATACCTCCTGGCTTCCCCAGTTTGGAAGTATCCTTCCCACTTCCCCTAGGCCACTGGAAAGGCCCCAAGCCTGGGATCTAATCCCAGGCTTGTCGCTAAGTGGCTGTGTGGCTTTGGCTGGCCCCAGTCTCTGTGAGCCTGCTGACCCTCATCTGTAAGAGGGGCACTAGAGTTAGATGATCTCTGAGGTCCCTGCTGACCTGGTCCCTCCCCCTCCTCATCAAGTAAACAGAACATAAACTTTAATAGGAGGACGTCCCTGCAAAATGTCCTCTCCTTCCTACAACAGGCTGCTTCTATATATGCCTGTTTCATACTAAGCATTTCCTTACCTGGGAGATTGCAAAAGCCATCGTTTTGCTCCAAAGTGAATTGGAGAGTGACCTGGCCCCTGAAGAGGGAGTGGTAGGGTCCGGCCACCTGGTGTGCAGTGGCTTTGAGCAGAGATATGACCACAGGAGGTGGTGGGAAGCTTTTCCTCTAACCTGGTGGCCCCAGTTGCTCCTCCAGACCTCAGCGCGTCCCCTCAGCTCATCCTCGTGACAGGCTCTCACCGTGCTCCTGGCTTCTGTCACCACTCAGATCTCTCTCCAGCCTCAGTTAGCCACCAGCAGTGCCTGATAATGGACTCTTACTTTGTGTTATTTTTGTCTGCAGGTGAAATCCCTAAGGGCTCTGCCGTGCACTCCAGTCCTGTGACCCTTGCCTTCCAGGAGCCAAGCAAGAAGCGAAGCCACCAGAGGTCCTTAAAACTGCAGGAAGGGTGGGCCTGCCCCCCTGCTTTGCAGCTCCCTGTCTGCTGAGGAGGATCTGGGCCCCACTCCTCCACACCTGCTGGAAGGTCTGAAAGGAGTCAGAGATGTGGCCTGATGGGGCAGGGCGAAAGGCAGAGGGCCTCTCCTGCAGTTGAGGAATAACCAGCCAAGGTCCACTGGACCCAGCACTAAGCAAAACAGGCATAGTTTGTAGAAGACCTTGTGACACTGCTTTTGAATGCCCCAGGGGTATGGGAACCAGCAACAGCACATTTCTCACCTCATCCTCTGAGGGTCAACTCAGGGGAAATAGGACCTGCTTCCTAGCAATGGAGCCCCACACTGGAGCTCCACAGCAGATCTAAAAGCACAGGACTGAGCAGCGGTGCCCTGCAGGACAGTGTTGGCAGACCTAACCTGGGCCAGCGAGCTGGGTCACAGTCAGGCTGGGGATTGGTCTACACTGCAGCACCTGAGTTATTTGAATCCACGTGGTGAGAGCAGTGATTCCCAGATGCCATCTCATGCTTAGCCTAGACCTCCTATTTCTACTCTATTATGATCTCCAAAAAGTGTACTGACCTTACTCTAAATATGCTGTCCCATTTTGTCATCCCAACTTCTCTCTGGGAACTAGGGACTAATGGCCACACCAAGCCCATTGAAAGTCTTGTGTAAAGCAAATCAGTGATCATTTTTAAGTGACATGTGAGGAACCCCCAGTTGCTAAAGCCTAGTCTGTGTCTTCACAGTGCTTTAGAATGTGTGTATGTGTGTATAAATGTATGATATATATTTATATATGTTGCTATAGCGATATGTTGAAGGCTAATATAACTGGTGGATAGGGTCAGTGGGAGGAAATGAAACAGTCTTTTTGGTGGCTATTAAAGCAAAATATGTATAAAGAAATAAAGTTTTCTTCACCTGCTTAGTTTCTAATTTCTATACCAGTCCTCAGGGTGAGTGTGTAAAAACAGGAAAGACAGACTGTCATTAAAAAGCTAACTGTCTGAAGCAGAATCAAAATGGTGGAGTAGGTGGATATGGAGCTCCTCTCCCCAACAGACATATCAAAAATACATCTACATATGGAGCACTCCTCCTTGAAAAGTGGCAGAACTATAAACCAAAGCTGCAAGAAAGATCTACATGTAATTAATTGGGTAGGAAGGGGAAAAAGAAGAAGACCTGGGTCAGCTCCTGGGGTCCTTGGTGGGATCTGCAAGGAGAAGGTCCACAAGGGTAGACCCTTGCCCTGGGGAGTGAGCAGGTCGAGTCACAATATGGGCATCCCAGTCCTGGGGTCCTGCATGGAGTGGCCATGCCCCCTTGCCTCTTAAGACAGAAGGGTTGGAGAAGACTAGACTCTACTCACCAGCAGTGCATGCTGGCTTGCTGACGATCAGGGCAGAGAGTGTTGCACTGGGAGCAGCCCCCTTGCTGTATTTCCCAGTCCAAAGGGGCAAATGCCCTGGCCCCACTCACTCCACACCACAAGCTGGCACAAAATCTTGCCAGAGACTAGATCTAGTCGTGCAGAGACAGACCAGGATATCTGGGGTGTGATCTAGGAGTAGCCTCAGAGGCCATAGTCAGCAAGGGCTCAGGGCAACAGGTGTAAATGCAGCAAACATTAGTGTGTGTCCACGGTGGCACAACAGGCGTGTGCAAGGGCCAAGCAATGAATCTTGAGCAGACAGGCCATGGGAGAGGATATGATCTAGCTAGGCAGAAACAGCCCAGAGGGCCTGGGGTGTGGTCCAGTTGGGGCTGCAACGGCCATTGTGAGCATGCTCAGGAGTACACAGTGGTTTGTCTTCCAGCTCAGCACTAGATCTGGGGCAGAGAGGTCCTGGGTGAGGTCTGCCACAGAGGCAGCCCAGATCTCAGGTGGCAGCGTAGCCACCTCAGTCCCTGCAGCCACAACTCCCCAACCTCCAGGCCCAGCCCACTCCATGCCACAGTCTTACACTAGATCTGGGATAAACACAATAGGGACACAATCTTGGGCTGCCTCTGAGTGGAGCTGTAGATGCCTACACAGGTGGAACATAGGCCCTCTGTAACCATACAGGCCTCACTTTCTTCAACACTCACTTCCTTTGGGGCAGGGCATGTACTCAAGGACAACAGAGGCTGATCAAACCCAATCCTCAAGGCTTCTACTCCAACAGGGGAGCACACCCTGCCCCTGACAGGGCCATGACATGGAGCAGAGAGGGACCCCCACCTCACATCCAGCACAGGCTCTAGATACTACACCACCATCCACACCCTGCTGTCAAGGGGATAATGGCCAGCACACACTGAGAAAAAGCCTGGCTGGCATTCATCCTGAAACTAGCCCTCACACCAAAAATATTAGACTCATGGAAGCTACACAGGGACACTCCCAAATAAACACAGCCATTCAAGATCACAGTAGATAACTGTTTCTCCTAAAATCATAGAGACAGAGAAATTTAAGTAAAATGAAAAGGAAGAGGATCTACTCCCAATTAAAAGAACAAGAGAATTCTCCTGAAAGAACAAATAATGAAACAGACCTCACCAGTCTACTAGACCTGGAATTCAAAAAGGAGGTAATAAACTCAAGATAAGAAAAGTTATTTATGACAAACCCACAGCCAATATAATATGGTGAAAAGCTGAAAGCCTTCCCACTAAAACCTGGAACAAAACAAGGATGCCCACTAACCTATTCAATATAGTATTAGAAGCCCTAGCCACAGCAATCAGACAAGAAAAAGAAATAAAAGGTATTCAAATTGGAAGGGAAGATGTAAAATTGTCATTATATGCAGATGATATGATACTATATATAGAAAACCCTAAAGATGCCACACAAAAACTACTAGAACTAATAAACATATTCAACAAGTTAGCAGGATACAAGATTAACATACAGAAGTTGGTTGCATTTCTTTACACCAACAATGAAATATCAGAAAGGGAATACATAAAAAACTATACCTTTTAAAATCACAACCCAAAAAACAAACTACTTAGGAATAAACCTCACCAAGGAGGTGAAAGACTTCTACTCTGAGAACTATAAAACATTAATAAAGTAAATTGAAGATGATTCAAAGAAATGGAAAGATATCCCATGCTGTCTGATTGGAAAAATTAATATTGTTAAAATGGCCATACTACCCAAGCAATCTACAGATTTAATGCGATCCCTATCAAATTACCCATGACATTTTTCACATAATTAGGACAAATAATCCTAACATTTATATGGAACCACAAAAGACCCAGAATTGCCAAAGCAACTCTGAGGAAAAAGAACAAAGCTGGAAGCATAACCCTCCCAGACTTCAGACAATATTACAAACTGACAGTAGTCAAAACTGCATGGTATTGGCACAAAAATAGACACATGGATCAATGGAACAAAATAGAGAGCCTGGAAATAAACCCACACACCCATGGTCAATTAATCTTTGACAAAGGAGGCAGGAATATACAATGGGAAAAAGACAGTCTCTTCAGCAAGTGGTGCTGGGAAAGTTGGACAGCTGCATGTAAATCAATGAAGTTAGAACACACCCTCTTACTATACACAAAAATAAACTCAAAATGCCTTAAAGACTTAAACATAAGACATAACACCATAACACGCCTAGAATAGAACATAGGCAAAACATTCTCTGACATAAATCATACCAATGTTTTCTTAGGTCAGTCTCCCAATAGAACTAAAAACAAAAATAAACAAATGGGACCTAATCAAACTTACAAGCTTTTGCACAACAAAGGAAACCATATACAAAATGAAAGGACAACCTACAGAATGGGAGAAAATATTTGCAAACAATGCAACTGACATGGGCTTAATTTCCAAAATATACAAACAGCTCCTATAACTCAATAATGAAAAAACAAATAACCCAATCAAAAAATGGGCATAAGACCTTAATAGACATGTCTCCTAAGAAGACATACAGATGGCCAATAAGCACATGAAAAAATACTCAACATTGCTGATTATTAGAGAAATGCAAATCAAAACTACAATGTGGTACCACCTCACACCAATCAGAATGGCCATCATTAAAAAGTCTACCAATAACAAATGCTGGAGAGGGTGTGGAGAAAAGGGAACCCTCTTACACTGTTGGTGGAAATGTAAGTTGGTGCAGCCACTATGGAGAACAGTATGGAGGTTCCTTAGAAAACTAAAAATAGGATTACCATATGATCCAGCAACTCCACTCCTGGGCATATATCTGGACAAAACTACAACTCAAAAAGATACAGGCACCCCTATCTTCAGAGCAGCACTATTCTCAATAGCCAAGATATGGAAACAACGTAAATGTCCATCGACAGATGAATGGATAAAGAAGATGTGATGTACACACACACACACACACACACACACACACACACACACACACAGCCATACAAAAGAACAAAATAATGTCATTTGAAGCAACATGGATGCAACTAGAGATGATCATACTAAGTGAAGTAAGTCAGGAAGAGAAAGACAAATACCATATGATACCACTTATATGTGGAATCTAAAATATGACACAAATGAACCTATCTATGGAACAGACTCACGGACATAGAGAACAAACTGGTGGTTGCCAAGGGGGAGGGGGTTGGTGGAGGTATGGAGTGGAAAGTTGAGGTTAGAGATGTAAGCTTTTACATGTAGAATGGATAAACAACAAAGTCCTACTGTATAGCCCAGAGAACTATATTCAATATCCTATTATAAACCATAATGGAAAATATATAAAAAAGAATGTATATCTATGTATAACAATCACTCTTCTGTACAGCAGTAATTAACACAACATTGTAAATCAACTATACTTCAATAAAAAAGGAGGCAATAAAAATGCTAACTGAATTTTAAAAAATGATCAACAGAAATGCAGGTCACTGTAACAAGGACCTAGAAACTATAAAGATAAACCAATCAAAAATAGACAATTCAATTGCCGAGATAAAAATCCAATCTAGAAGCAGTGAATAGCAGACTAAATGACATAGAAGAATGAATAAGTGATCTGGAAGATAGAATAATGGAAATCAACCAATCAGAAGAGGAGACAGAAAGACAAATGAAAAAAAAGAAGTGAAGGCAACATACAAGATCTATGGGACAATAGGAAATGTGCCAACCTTCACATAATAGGGATTCCAGAAGGAGAAGAAAGAGAAAAGGGGATTGAAAATGTATTTGAAGAAATTATGGCTTAAAATTTTCCAAACCTAAGAAGGAAACAGAAATCCAGATACAGAAAGTACTGAGGAACCCAAACAAGATGAACCCAAACAGATTCACATCAAGACATATCATACTTAAAATGGCAAAAGTTAAAGAGAGGATTCTAAATGCAGCAAGAGAAAAACAAAGAGTCAATTACAAGGGGACCTCCATAAGGCTGTCAGATGATTTCTCTATAGAAACTTTGCAGGCCAGAAGGAGTGGCATAATATATTCAAAGTCCAGAAAGGGAAAAACCTTCAACCTAGGATACTATAGCCAGCAAAATTATCATTTAGTATAGACGGAGAGATAAAGAGTTTCTCAGGCAAGTAAAAACTAAAAGAATTCAGCAATATTGAACCTACTCGAAAAGGAATACTGAAGGGTCTTCTCTAAATAGAAAAGAAGCAAGAATCTATAGAAAAGGAAAATCACAATAAGAAAGGTATATATAAAAGGACTGAAGATCACTTAAATAAGCCAGTAGAGATTTAAATTTTTTTTAATTACAAATACAAATCACAGTAAGAAGATAAGCACAAAGATGTAAAATAGGACATCAAAGTCACAAAATGTCAGGGAGGGGATTATAAAAATGTAGATCTTTTAGAATGTATTTGAACTAGTATGATTTCCAGTTTAAAGCAAGTAGATATAGTTATGGGTCAACATACTTGAAAACCAGGGTAACCA